GCATTATTAGACAGAGTAAATATGCGGATTTAGTGTTTAAACAGAATATCGTTTAAATGCCGACCGTCTTCTTCGTAGCAAGCTGTTAATCTAAAGCGTATGCTGCGGAAAACGTTCTGACACATCGCCACGGGTATGCCACGTATAGCATTGGTGATGCGGTCCTTTAGCTGCTGGATAATTTGTGGCATCGATTTCGTGTAGACGACACTTTTCAAGTATCTCCATAGGAAAAAATCCAGGGGCGTTAGGTCGGGTGAGCATGGAGGAAATTTAATATCACCATTGATGGAAATTACCGTGCCAGGAAACACTTCGGTCACTGCATTTATGGATATCGCTGCAGTATGTGCCGTAGCGCCATCTTGTTGAAACCACGTGCCGTTGTTATCATAGCCAGGGAACTGTGGTAAGAATAGGCGTAAAAAATTCCGAACCATGGCGATATAGCGTGTGCTATTCACAGTAACAGAACGTAATGCTTTATCTTCAAAAAAGTACGGTCCAATTATGCCCGAGGCGGACATAGCGCACCATACCGTCACTTTTTTGGAATGTAACGGTCGTTGATTTTTTTTCCGCGGCTTGTTAGTGGCCCAATATAGGCAATTATGTTTGTTCACGGCTCCAGTTAGATGGAAATGTGCTACATCACTAAAAATAATGTGCTCAAGCCCATACTTATTCCAAAACGTGTTGATCATGGTCTCGGCGAACGTTTTCCGTTTTACATGATCTTCGGCCTTCATAAATTGGCTTAGTTGGATTTTATACAGGTGAAACTTTAAGTCTAACTGCATTATTTCGTGCACACTAGTGCGTGGCAATTGGAATTGTTGAGCATGTTTACGAACTGACCGCTGAGGATGCTGAATCACAGCGCGCCGTACTCGGTCGATATTCTGTGGAGTTCGTGTAGTTTTCGGTTTACCAGTTGCCTTTTTATTCACAGCAGATGCTGTTGTTCTGAATCGTCTAACCCAACTGTGCATAGAAAAACTAAAAAGAGAAGGTTTGAATAATAGGCGGGAATTGTTTCATTGTTTGTAGTTTATAATATCGCGCTTCACGCGCTGCGAGCACTAAATAAAAGCCGTTTTTACACCCATATAATAATTAAAAAATGAATAAATTTTAAAGAAATCAATAATTTTACTAATGCAATCTTTTAAATATCACTTTAATACAATATAATGATCAAATACAGGGATAATTGTTATAAATTTATAAAGTTAAAGCTACATTTGAATATTATGAGGTGGTGTAAATCTGGCTTTGCTAATAAATTAGGTTATGTTACACTAAAACATGACAGTCGTGGAAAATGTAGGTGAGTAAAATTTAATTAATCTTATTTTTAATTTAGTTTTAGTTAGATTTAAGTAATTTATAGGTGTAAAAATATACTGAGGTCCTTAACGATGTCATTAACTTATAATAAATTTACATTATCATGTGCTGCTCCAAATTGCAGAAGCAAATATTATTTACATTCACTTAATAAGAAATTTTTTACTTTTCCGTCCATTATTACCCTTAGAGAGAAATAGTTTGATATTTTAAATATTCCCTACACATCTAAAAAAACTATAGTGCGAGGATCATTTTGACGAGAATGCCTTTACCAGCACTAAGCTCATTAAATTTGCCTTGCCTTTAGCGCCTTTAGAAGAGAATATTACTACTAAGAATAATATTACATTAGATGAAAATTTTTCAGAGCTGCCTTCATCAAATTCGCTTGCAAAAATAAATGTAATTAGTAATGTTTTGATTAAACCTTCTGTTTCGAATAACTTCAGCTAAAAGAAAGCTAGAGTTTTTTAATGATAGAATTGAATGTGTTGAGGAACCTTTAATAAAGAAACCACGTGTAAGAACTGGTATTTTAAATCAAATTAATGCAACTAGAATTGGTAATTTAACTCCTAGAAAGAGAAAATTTTATTATATTAATCGAGAGCAGCGAAACAAAATTTCAAGATTAAAAAATAGTTTATTAAAATCTAAAAATAAAATTAAGACTGCTTTAAAATTATCAGAAACAAATTTATTTAAAAATTTTAGTTTAATTTTAAGATACACACTGCGCCTTTATTTTTTTTTTGATTTAGTTATTCCTGAGTATGGAGATTTTTGGAATGGATATTGCAACTACAATGAACCGAAATAGATAGGTGAAGGGATAGTAAAGTGGTTTAGTGCCAGAGTTACCTAACCAACAAAATTTCAAAACAACTGGTCTTTGTTATTGTTTTAAAATCATTTCTATACATGCCAAAGTTACCTATTCCTTAAAATTATGTAGTTCATGACAAAATTAAATACTTATTTGACAAGTGACTATTTTTAAATTTTTCTTAAACTTTGATCTCAACTTACTCAATTAATTATTTTTTAGCAACTCTGGCACTGGAACACCCAATAGAGCTTAAGAATATTAAAAATTTTTTCATGTAGTAAACTCAATTTATTTTTAATGTGTACTTTTTGTGATAATGTGTAATTTTGTGATATTAGGTAATTTTATTGATATAAAATAATAATAATATTAATAACAATAATAATCGTGATTAGTGTAAACGTATATTTTTAAATTAACTTCAATCCCTTGAACAATTTTTAATTTAAAAATGCAATTAAAAAGTAGATGTTACAACACTGTTGCTAAATATATGTAAGAAAAAACTACTTAAATGTTTATGTCTTGCTATTGTTTGTCTTTTTTTATTATTTTGTAATTTTAGCTAACCTTATCCCTATTATTTAAAGTAATTTTTAATTGTAAATTTTAGTCTGAGTAAACCAGACTTATCTTATACTTTTTTATAATGCTTAACAGGACGAATAAACATTATTAATATTATTATTACAATAAGTAAATTTAACTTCTCGTTTTTCTTTAAGTTTTTCAGTGTGATATTAGGTATTATATAAAACTTTCAAAGTTATAGATATTAGTTCTAAGTTTTAAATTGTTTAAAAATATCTTTTTACTGTTCTGTGATACTAGGTATTAACAATATTTTTAACAGGGTTCGTACTGATTGAATTAAGATATAGTTTTTTAGAGTGTTATATTAAGTTTTGTTGTTTGTTGTTTAAATAAAAAGGAGGCGTTGGACGGCTATGGGGATGGAGGAGGCTGAAAAAAAAATTTACTTGACTAAGCCGATCATTAAAATTTAGTTGACAGAGATTTAGACTGAATAATTTGAAATTTTTGTAAATCAGACATCACAATATTTAAATTTCACATATAAAATACATTATACCTAGTTAGCAAATACTAAAAACAAAAATTAAATTGTTTAGGGAAAATTGATTTACTTAGTCAGGTAAATTAATACCTACATTTCAGTATTAGCCCTGTTTTTTAAATTAAAAACAGATAATATAGGTATTATGATTTGATGTTAAATTTTAAATTGTTTCAAATTTAAATGTAGATGTTACATTTTTATATCAAATTAATGGCAAATATAAACTATTTTATATGTATTCATTGAAAAATTACCTATCTGTTGTGTATTAATAAGTTATTATTATTATTATTATTAGAGATATTTAAAACAATTGTGGTATTTATAGGGATGTGTTGTTTTTAATTATTTGAAAATGTTCGTTGTGTTTTTTGAAAATTGTATCCAGTTTATTGTTAATAAAATAATTGTTACATTGTTATCCTACATTTTTATTCTGCATTAATTTTGTGTGTTTATTGTGAATATGATGTTTAATATAATGTAATGATATAGTTACCTATTCTAAATAAAATAAACTTATTACAAATGTTTTTATTTTTCATTTAAAACAAGTGACATTTTCCGTTTTTCAGCATTAACTTACAATAAAAATTCATTTTACTTATTGATTGTTTCAATTATTGTAAGTAAAAGCTGTAAAATAGGAAAATGTTACTTGAAATTACTTCAAATTTCATCAATTTTAAAGCCCGCCATTTTTTAAATCGCTTTACTTAGTAGTTTTCTACTTTACCGACTGTACCGAATTATAGTTCATCATAACGCGCTCAGCGCGCCACTGTCGAGGTCAAACAAACTTGTTACCAACTATTTACAGGAGAACTGGCTACCCTGCAACTGTGCACTAAAGCTGCCGACGGTGCATCGGCTATACGTCGAATATCAAAACGTTGACGTGCCACAACGTACGAATCGTTTGATTTAAAAAATGATTCATTCATGAACGCTCGTTGTTCTGCAAGCCACGGTGCCATCGTAACTAAAATCCGCATGGTTACGCTACCTGTCTACAATCCCCCATCCTCCTACTTAGTGCAGGGCCGGTATCAGAATGATTCAAAATATTAAATTCATTACCGGACACCCTGTATATATGAAAATAAGTGACACCACTTTTTAACATTTTTTTTTATGTACATGTTTTTACATCATATTTTTATTTATATTGTGATAATGTATCTATAAATAGTTTAAAAGATTAATAATATAATAATTAAAATAATGGTTCGTTACGCAAAACTCAGTTGTTCCAGTACATCAATTGCAGTTAAGAAGAAATCTTCAGAAAAAACATTTCACCGGTCGGTGCATACAAAAAACATATCCGTATTCTAGAAAATTATTAACGTCCGAAATAAAAATTTTGGACGCTATTATTAAATTTACTCAAAACACTAAAATATATATTTAAAGTTATTTATATTATATGAAAATTGTCAAGTTTAAACTTTTTGTGGTAAGTAGACTTGCATGTCTAATGCCATCCATCCATACAAAAATATTGATGTCAAAAAATTAAGAATTATAATAACAATAACACATCTAAATCCCAAGAAAAGAACTAGCAAAATAATGACAAGTTAAAATGTAACTTTAATTTACAGAATATTTTTTTACTTTTAATTTTGAATGTCCTTTAAATTTTAAAATATTATTTGTCATAGAATTACCATTAACGCCTTCAATGAGGTTTAAATAATTAACCCATTACATATAGTGTATAGTCTGGTGATAAAAGTATCAGTGCTTTATTTACTGTAGATAACATTTAATTTGAATTAAATTTATAAATAAAGTTGAAAATTTCATATGATTTTATTATGTAGATAACATTTTAATAATATTACCTGCCAGTGTAAAAACCAGTAAGTGGTGCTGATATATACATTATACATATATAGCAAAAATGCGGTTTTGAAGTTTTAAAATTCATTTATTTAATTCAGTAATAGGTAGTAATACTGTTAGTAATTAAATGCACGCGCAGTATATACTTACATATATTTTGTTGCAATTGTGTACCAAGTATTTAAACTGCATTAAACAATGGATTCATCGAAAAAACATGTCAAGCCTTCGCCTGAGGAACACGCTAATATATTTTCGAAAGTTTTTTATTGGTAAGTAAACTATTAAACTATTTTATTTATTATTATTATCCATACCCACACAGGTACAAATTTGTGAACATAACCTCAAAATCGTAAGATGCTATACAGGGTGTCTCACAACTTATACGACAAATTTTAACCACATATACAGTGTTACATAAGAAGTCTATTAGGTACACGAAAAAAACTGTAATAAAAGTCCAACAGAAAACGAATAAAAAAATAAAAACTTTCGAGAGTATTTGTCATTAAAGATTGTCGGATAAGGTGTAAAACAATAAATTAAAATAGTAGAATGGATGGTCGCCAATATTTGGAATTTCTTATAGTCGGAGAGCTGGCGGGCAAATTCTACAAGAGTTTTCAAAAGGCTAATTTCTCTATATATCATAGTATTGAGAGTGTACATGAGTCAGCATCCACTTGCAAAGTTGGGTGGGGCTGCGTTCGGCGGCGACACTCTTTGAAATATGTAGAACCAGCACATGCACCACAAGAGTTTTCTAATAGATGAAAATTGGTACTTAACTTCATTTTAATATTCAAATCCGAGAGGTAGTGGTCAGACCGCACAACTAAGTGACGCTGCAAGTCAGCAAGGCGCCGAAGTTGTATACATTTTTACATCGTCGCAAGAGTTTTCTAAAGGCTGAAAATTTGTGAGCTATTTTATTTTGATGTATAATTAATGAAAAAACAAGTCAGACCTCGATTTCATCTGACAAAGCCAGTCAGCAGTCATCTGAAGTGAGCGTATTGAGCGCGCATGGATGCTGGTGTTATCTGGGGTTTTAATTCATTTTACTCCAAGTTTTATCATTGTTTCAATATTAATTGAATACTAATCTATTTTTATCGATACTTAATCATAGCATTTTTTATCAACTTATGCAATTATAATTATTTTATTTATGCAGTATTTTTTTTCTTTGATATTAATTCAAATTTTGTCTTTGATATTAATTCAAGTTACACTTTTTGAGCGTGGTGACCGATAAGAAAACAATTTTTTTTCTTTTATTGAATAAATGAGAAGTTAATATTGTTTAAAATATTTTTATTATCTTACAATACATGTACGTTATTCAGGAATTTTTATCATTGAAACTATAGGTTTATGGTAACTGAAATAAGAAACTTTTTGAGACTTGATATCCTCTAAATATCTGGAAAATACCGCGTCAATGTTGTCCCATATTTTGTTGTGGATTCTTGTGGATCATTATTCATTTTCAAATTCATTTTTTCCAAAATTGTTTTTAAAAGAGAATCAGTTATGAGCAGTTAGCAGCTAGTCTACACGAATACGTCTAGTCGCACGCACACAAACACCGTGCCGAAGTCTGCCGAACTGAAACGACGTTAAACGATGCACGACTTTCAACGCCGCACCGCTGTGCCGGTCGGAGTGGGGGTGTTAGGTTTATTTTCGTTACGGAATTTCTTTTTCGATTTCTCGATTTTTCGATTTTTTCGATTTTTTCGATTTTTTTCGATTTTTTCGATTTTTTCGATTTTTTCGATTTTTTCGATTTTTTCGATTTTTTCGATTTTTTCGATTTTTTCGATTTTTTCGATTTTTTCGATTTTTTCGATTTTTTCGATTTTTTCGATTTTTTCGATTTTTTCGATTTTTTCGATTTTTTCGATTTTTTCGATTTTTTCGATTTTTTCGATTTTTTCGATTTTTTCGATTTTTTCGATTTTTTCGATTTTTTCGATTTTTTCGATTTTTTCGATTTTTTCGATTTTTTCGATTTTTTCGATTTTTTCGATTTTTTCGATTTTTTCGATTTTTTCGATTTTTTCGATTTTTTCGATTTTTTCGATTTTTTCGATTTTTTCGATTTTTTCGATTTTTTCGATTTTTTCGAGGGGTTATTTTCGTTACGGAATTTCTTGATTCGGTCGCCGCGCTCAAAGCCCGCGATAAAATCTGTGCAATAGCTTAATAATGAAATAGTTAACACTGATAAAATAAAAATTAATATTTTTTCTACACCCGTATTATAATATAATAATGCACTTATATGCCCATAATCCGTTTCATAATGTGATACCCATTATGATACAGATGTTTCATTACGATACAGATTTTTAATCAATAGAAACCTACAATTTTTCAATCAAGCATGCTGTTTGACGTTTGTCCTAGGTTCCTATGTAATTGTTTTAGTTGTCAAAACGTATTAAATTTGCCTTTGGCTCGTTTCGTATTCCGGTTAATGCTCGTGTATTAGTAACCATCATTACATGATCGTTGCATAATATACTATTATAAATCTTGCAAAAAAATTAATATCTAATATTTACGTCAGCCGGGAACATTTGTGATACCAATTTATTAGAAGCCAGAGAAAGCTCTTCTAGTTCTTGTATTGCATAAACGTTCCAGTCCGCAGACGTATATTTAACTCCGCTTCATACTAATACGAATAGGGTCGGATAAAACCTTCCACGGCTTTCAAAACGCCGCACCGCTGTGCCGGTCGGAGTGGGGGTGTTAGGTTTATTTTCGTTACGGAATTAGGGAATTTCTTGATTCGGTCGCCACGCTCAAAGCCCGCGATAAAAGCTATGCAATAGCTTAAAAATGTATAGTTATGCGTGATAAAATAATTCTCCACAATCGTTTAAATTAAATGTAATTGTTCCTTCAGAGGTAGAATCTCATTTTATTTTATTTTCGTGTGTCGGCGCTGACAAGCCAATGAACTTCTGCTCGGAGCGTGTTTACATTTCCGAGAACATGGATTCGTAGCTTGTAATAATTGCAACTCAATTAATATATTCAAATAAATTAAATAGAAAAAACATTTTTCATTACAATATAAAACAAGTATAATATTTAATCAGAATCACTATCGCTTTCTTAAGTGGAAGAACAATCTGTATTCGATTCATCAATACCGGCTCGATTCTCAGACTCGGACTCCGAATCTATAAAGAAATGATATTTTTATTATTCATTTTTCAACAATTGAGAATTCTCGGAGGAAATATTTTACTTTCATTTCCATCTGGCTGAAGAACAACGTCTCTTACGAGGACTGGGCATTGATCGCCTACAAGCCAATCGAAATCGTATTTTCCCTCGACATTTCGCCAATCGTTTTCCGTTGCTGACATTTGCGTCAAAGTTGGTTGACTAGCATTTTTCCAAATATTTGAAATGTAGGCAGCTCGTTGAACATGTTTCTTGAGTACTTTTTATTTTAAATAAATCCGTGTCCTTAAATGTATACGTTTTTGTGAATATTGCCTCATTCACAGAGCTTATGTTTTCCAAGCTATATAAATTACAAACGAATTGTTGTATTTTATTGAATACGAGCATAAAAACTTGTGTGTAGAAAGTGAAGATAGTTCTCGGAGTCAGCTCCCATTTCCAGCTCCCAGCCCCACCAACAAGCCCAATTCACACAGCACTACTATTTTTAAATTATCAGAATAAGAGACTGCATATGATCACTCTGCTTGTTACATATTAAACCAAATTAGGATATATTCATTATTTATACAGGGTGTAACAAAAAGTTGTATAGTATCGTTTATCGTTTAAATTTTAGCTATGCAACTATGACATTACGTACTTGAAACCAAAGCTAAAATCTTTGAACCAGTCAATGACATATGAGCTGCTTTTTAGCCACCAAACGAGTTTAAAATAAATTTTAAACTATATTTAAAGTCATTAATTAATAGTTGGCAAAAATTGGGTGTAGGTTTTATAGTAGTACCGAATTATATACAATCTATAAAACGATTTGTCAATTTTTTTTAAAAATCGGTGATTTCTGTATGTACTCAATACAATAAAGAACCGGCGCCAAAACAACTTTTCAAATATATGGAGATATACGAAAAGTAAATAAAAGAAAGACGAATTCTTGGAAAATTTATAATAAAATAATAATCATAAAAAAAATAAAGAGTAAAAAAGAGGAATTTTTAGAAATATAATAAATCATAACTTCAAAAATCAGCTTGGAGACACGATCATCGGAACTAGTACAATAAATAAAGCAATCATCCTTTTATTTACAGTAAGAATTTCAACTGCCCAAATATACAGCGTCATACGAATAAAAAAAATAAAGATAAAAGAGAGAAAGTTTTGGAAAAATTATAATAAATCATAACTTTAAAAATCAGCTTTGAGACACGATCGGAACTAGTACAAAAAATAAATCCATTGTCCTACTATTTACAGTAAAAATTTTAATTTCCTAAATATTCGGCGTCACAGGAATAAAAAAAGATCGCCCGAGTTATATATTGAGAATATAATAGACTCTTTTATATATTATCTTTAATTAATAATCAGTTTTACTTTATAAATAGGAGTAGAACCTTATTATTGTTTTTTTTTTGTTATTTGAAGCTGTTATTTGAAGTAGCTTTAGTACAGATATCCATTTAAGTGTATTTTATACTTAATAAAATTTTTAAAAATAAAAGTTCCATTTTGGAATTTATAACTGGCGCAGTCAGTAGGATACACGCGAGTCGTGAAAGAGTTTAATCGAGTTCGCTGTTGCCGGGCTGAATATGAACTTTTCGTGACTTTGGAATTTTCATTCCTCAAGTGTGGTTCCTAACGAAGAATTGGTGGAAGTCATCCCTTGTGTGGCGACAGTCTGACTTTCCACGTAGAAGAATCGTCGTTTGGAAGAATCGTCGATAGGACATCAGCCCATGGTGGGACATCCGAAACGACAATTAGAAAGCAATTGAAGAAAATAGTAAGTGCCAAATATCCTTTAATTTCCCTTTCCTTTAATACCTTTAAATTAAAGATTATTATTAAAAAGATTATATTATTATATAATTTTGAAACTATTTTATATAACATTATATTTTATGAGTGAATCAGAAATTGATACTTTGTTTGAGCAATTTGCAAATATATCGTTACAAGATAATAAATTAGATAGTGTAGAAAGTAATTTAATTATGGCACCTCCAGTAATTGAACGTAGACAAGTAAATTGGGACCTTTTAAAGTC